TGATGGTTGCTGGCACGAGAGCATCACCTGTCAAAAGTTGATCCAAGATCACCGAACTCGGGGGTTTAATCGTGATCGCTTGCAGCCATGACGTCGGCCACCTTAGACTCGGAGGCTGCTTTTCAAGAAAGGTGTCTCCGAATCGGCATGACGCCGGAGCTGTATGGCAAGCTCAAAGATAAGGGCTATGACACCTTCGGGAAGATCGCCTTTGCTGCTGCGAGCTCCCCGCAGGCCCTTACCGATGAGGCCATCGATGTGTGGTTGGCCACGGTCGTAGATCCAAGGCCTTCAGCGTTCCAGGTTTCGGTGATCAGGCGGCTCCTATTTGAAAGCCAGTCGCTCAACATCGCTGACTTGCGGACCCGTGTGGAAGGCCAGCCTGAAAACACAATCAAGAAACTTCCCACTGCTGAACGAATAGCCAGACAAGAAGCTCAGCAGGCTCGCTTGAAGGGAGTCGTCTTCACGGTGTCGAACCAGCCATCCCATGCGAGCATCGATCAGGTCACCGACATGTTGGAAAACAATTCCTTGCGGTACCTGCCGATGAACAGGTGGACCTCCCGGTCACAGGAGCTGAGCTTGGCAAAGAAGGACTCATCGATCCAAATTGACGCGGAGGGAAACCTCAAGCTAGGCACTAAGGTCCCGGATCCTGTTTGCGACACAAATGGTGCTTATGCGCTTCGGCAAGCCTTCTTTCGCCGCTCGCTGGCTCTGGACCTAGGGAACCTCTGCACCTTTGAGGTGATGGAGGAGTGGGTCAACACCATCTTCGAACTGACCCAGCGGCAGGTTCCCACCGGGTACACCAAGGTCTCCTTGTCCCAGATTGTAGCAGCAGATAAGGAACTCTTCATCAGGGCAGCGAACAACCTTGAAGGAAAGCTCCAGAAACCAGTGGGAGCTTCCAAGCCGTTGGATGCAGAGCTGAAGCGTTTGTCTGTGTCGCATGACATCACGCAGTTCTTGTCACCCTTGCTCACCCCGCCTCCGCCGGCCCATCCTACCAAGAGGCCCCAGGATGGTGACGACGATGCACCGCCCAAGAAGACTAAAGGCAAAGGTGACAAAGGCAACAAAGGCGGGGGCAAGGGCAAGACACCGAGGATCGAGATACCTGAAGGTTGTTCCGCACGTGATTCGCAGAACCGACCGAATTGTTTTGGGTTTAACTTGGGCACCTGTAAGGCCAAGGTGGTGAAAGGTAGGTGTCCGAAAGGTTTTCACCAGTGTTGGAAAATAGGCTGCAACAAGAATCACCCGTACAGTGAATGTACGCATGGCATGCAGTGACCCAGCCAATCGGGAGGTGGGCCAGCTCCTGAGGCAGCTCCCTTGGCCCTCGGTGCAAGCCGAGCTACATGCTCAGAGTCTTTCGCGAAGACTCTTAATTCAGTCAATGTGCCGCCGTCCCGTCTTGACTTGCAAAAGTTGCATGAACATCTTGTTGCGGATGGCTTGCTACGTCCTGACGCCAGAACTCAGCAACCGAATTTTGGGGTTGGGGCTTTTTCCCAGGGAGGGCTTCAAGGTCTGCGTGGTGAGTGTAAGAACTTCCCACAAACGACCAAAGCTATTACAGCTTTCGTGCGAGCTCAACTCCCGGATCTTTTCTTTACGACTGTTTTCCTGTTTTGCAATTCCATGACATCAATGCATGTAGATTCCAAGAATCATAAGTCCCCCACTGGTGTCATACCGATCGGAGCGTTCACAGGAGGCCACATCTGGGCCCAGTGTGACCATGGTTCGGTTATGCGCCCCATCAACGGCACACCGACCGCTGGCGAATTGCTTGATGTGTCTGCTGGACCCATCACCTTCGAGGCTTATTCCCGAGGCCATTGTACCGAACCGTGGCATGGCAACAGACTGATCGCTGTGGCATTTTGTGTCTCTGATTTGTCCAAACTTCCTGTTGCCGATGCAAATTCCCTTTTGTCCCTTGGGTTTAGGCCCCCGACCTCCTTGGGTTTCCCACTTCAGATCGCCGAGCAGGCGCAGCCCCCGCGACCTGATGACACGTGGATCTTCGAGATCTTTTCGGGCACTGGGGGTTTCGCTCGAGCTTGCCTCCGGAAAGGCTTCAAGGTTCTAGCCTTTGATGCTAAATTAGCCGGGGCCATGGTCCCTACTGCAAATCTTGACTTCTCCACAGACGCAGGTCGCGAGGTCTTTATGTCAATGTTGAAGCAGTGCAAACCTTTTCACGTCCACCTAGGGGTGCCGGCAGGTTCTGCGTCAGCCTCCCAGCGGGCCGCGAAACCCGATAGCCGATCACAGGGCGCCCGTTTGAGCACGCTTCGGACGCCGACACATTGCTTGGGTGTGCCCCAGATCGTGTGGTCTTCTGCCGAAGGCATCAAGCTTAGGAAGGAAAATGCCCTTTTCCGGTTCTGCTTCGATGTCATTTGCTTATGCCTCGACGCCAACATTTCAGTCAGTGTCGAAAACCCGGCCAACTCTTTGCTGTGGCATGTCTTCCAACGCTTTGCTTCTCAGGCTGCCATCAGGTGGCCGCCTAGCCAACTTGAACAGGTTATCTTTGCCATGTGTGCGCATGGGGGTGACCGCCCCAAGCAGTGCAAGCTTCTGGCTTCCAAAGGCCTCTTTTCCCCTCTGGCAGCCAAGTGCAGCAAAGATCATGAGCATGCTCCATGGTGGTCGCACTCCCGCCTCAGTGCGTGCTATCCGCCTTTGCTCTGCACACGCATGGCGGACTGTGTCTCGTCTCTAGCATCACAGTCGGGCCGGGTCCTCACGGCGCCCGATGACTTCCATGCAAAGGCCATGGCTGCAGCAGCCAAGCAAAGCAAGCGGCATGCCCCGCTCATTCCGGAGTTTCACAAGGTCACCTGGGAAACTCCCCGCTTCAAGCCAGATAAGTCTTGCAAGATCCTCCTGACCCACGTTGAGGGGGATAGTGGGGGTCAGACTTCGGATCCAAAGAACTTGAAACCTGTCAAGGTAGGCCATTGGCTCAATATGGATCAGCATGTATCGAAAGCCCGAACGTTGCAGCATCCTGTGGACAAGACGATTGCAGTTGACCCACCTGTGTGGGAAGCCGTCAACTTTTGCATGGCGCATGAGTCTGCCAAAGCTAATCAGCTTAGGAAGCTTGAGCTCCTTAAGGTGAAGCTCCTTGCCAAATCCCTTGAAGAGGAAGAGACAAAACTTCATGCCTCCTTCCCGCCTTGGTTCGAGAAGGTGGTCAAAGGAAAAAGGATTTGCTTGTGGGAGTCTCTCTTGAAAAATCATGGCTTTGACGACATGGGGGTAGTGGATCTGATGAAGAAAGGGGTGCCTTTGGTAGGAACTTCGGAAAAACCTGAATGCTTTAAGACCAAGGTGGCCATGGCTTCCATGTCCGAATCAGAACTCAGGGCCACTGCCTCTTTGCGCCGTCGTGCTGCCTTGTCAAAACCGAACCGTGCGACCCCTGAAGAGATTTCGCTTCTTCAGGAGGCCTCTAACTCCGAGGTTACCGATAACTTCATAGAGGGACCCTACACCGAGGCCCAGGTCACTGAAATTTTCGGCCATTCGAATTGGGGCATCATTCCCAGGTTCGTTCTTGAGCAAGGCCTTGAGAAGAAGATTCGACCCATAGATGATGGGCATGCTTCGCAGGTCAATAAGGCTTTCACTTCCTTGATTAAGCTGGAACTTCAAGGGGCCGACTTCGTTGCGGGTCTGGCCCTGCTGATCTCCCAGGCCGAAAAGGAACGTTCAGAGCGCCTAGGTGTCGCTGCTAGGAAGTGGGTGGGTCGGACCCTAGACCTCTCAAAAGCTTACAAACAACTAGGGGTACTCCCGCAACACCGTGACATCGCCGTCATCTGCCATCCCAATGAAAATGGTGAACCGCAATTCTTTATTGCGAACGCACTGATGTTCGGCTTGACATCGTCGGTGTATGGATTTGTAAGAGTAGCTAGAAGCTTGCATTTCCTTCTGGCCAAAGTGCTGAAGATCCCTTCAGCCAACTACTTCGACGATTACCCTCTCTTCACGTTGAGAGATGGGGCCCACGAGCTTGATGGTTTAACTTCCGAATTCCTAGAATTGCTGGGGTGGCGCTTCGCCCAGACCGGGGTAAAGGGTCAACCGTACGAGGAGGCCTTCACAGTCCTCGGAATGCAGCTGGACATCAGTCGTTTGCATGAAGGTGCTGCCGTGCTGGCAAACAAGGAAGGCCGTGTCAAGCGCATTTCCGAAATGCTGGGCAGCATTTTTGACAAGGGAGCCCTGGGCAGGCATGAGGCGCAAGTTCTCCTTGGACTCTTGAACTATGCCTCAGGTTTCTTTGCAGGCCGATCCTTGAAGCCAGCGTGCCACTTCCTGCTCTCCTTGGTAAGGGGGAAGCGCCAAACGGCTGCCGAAATAAAGCGCTTCTGCAAAACTACGCAGGCTGTCTTGAGCACCACTCCACCTAGAGTCCTTCGCATCTTTGACCCTCGACCGCCCATTCATGTTTGGACGGATGGAGCTTGGGAAGATCCTTGGGCGGGAATAGGTGCGGTTGTTCTTGACACGCTAGATGATAGTGCCAGGGTTTTTGCCGGTTGTGTACCCGCTAAGCTTTTGGAACGCTGGAAGCTGGATGTGGGATCGCAACTCATATGCGAGATCGAGCTCTACGCTTTGGTCACTCTGCGCCGCATGCTCCAAAACAGCTTGTGCAACAGAAGAGTCATCTTTTGGCTTGACAACGAGGCCGCACGCACCTCAGCCATCAAAGGTTTGAGCCAGAGCGAGTCGATGTATCGCCTCGCCCATTATCTTGCAGTGATCGAAGCTGAGGCGCCTTGTATCGCTTGGTACGAGAGAGTGCCTTCCTTTTCCAACATAGCCGATCCCCCTTCACGAGGGGAGGGGCACAGCATCCTCAGCTTGGTAGGCGCCAAGGTCGTGGAAGCTTTCATCCATGATGAAAGCTCAAACCAGAGATTCCTTCATCAGGGGTTCGCGTGATGTCGGGGGCATTCAGGACGATGCTCCCTTGATCTTGGAAATCTCAGCTTGCCAAACCCGAGATGCTTGATCATCGGTTTGGCCGGAGCTGTGGGGGCTCCTGAATCAGAATTCACCCTTGATCACCGTGCGAATAAAAAGAGTGTGGCGCGAGAGTTCTGTGAATCCTCATTTAACTTACATTGTGAGGATCTCTGATACAATATATCTCTTACTGATTGATCTTGCCATATTCCGAGATGGATTGATTTTTATATGATTGGCATCGCTTTGATACGTGATATCTGATATCACTCGACCTTTGCGAAACATCAGGTTTTTGAAAGAAGAACATTTTCTGCTTGCAGACTTTTCTTTCTTTTAAAAACCTGACAGGCAGCAGAGCTGCCGTGTTTTGCATGTGAGTTTTGAAGAACATTTCTTGCATGAGAACTTTCATTGTTTTTGAATAAGCAGATCGGATACCTTTGGCTTTCCCGCGAGTCTGCTCAAAGAGAGAGGCAAGAAATTTTTCTTTCCCACCCTCCCACCCAATACGGACGGGGGGGCATTCAGGACGCTGCTCCCTTGATCTTGGAAATCTCAGCTTGCCAAACCCGAGATGCTTGATCATCGGTTTGGCCGGAGCTGTGGGGGCTCCTGAATCAGAATTCACCCTTTATCACCGTGCGAATAAAAAGAGTGTGGCGCGAGAGTTCTGTGAATCCTCATTTAACTTACATTGTGAGGATCTCTGATACAATATATCTTTTACTGATTGATCTTGCCATATTCCGAGATGGATTGATTTTTATATGATTGGCATCGCTTTGATACGTGATATCTGATATCACTCGACCTTTGCGAAACATCAGGTTTTTGAAAGAAAAAACTTGCGACTGCCGACAAAGGGTTCTTAGAAAATGTGGGTTTCCCCTTAAGTCCCTCTTCTGGTTTTAGTGATGTGCCTCCCAAGGTTGCCAAAGTACAAAAAGGAAGTATCACTTTCGGCGTGTACCATGAACCTGAGGAGTTCGTGGCGAGGGCGTTGAGCGTGCAGCATCCGTGTCATTTGGAAAGCCTTTTGCCATCCGAGCTTGTCGAGGCCATACGAGAAAATCATTCCAAAGAAGCCGCTACACTTGGGCGCGACCAACTGAGACGCTCAAGAGATGGCTTGCTCGCGCCGAGGAGTTGGAAACTGCCGAAAGCCAGTTCAAGGGATCCTTCAGCGCCCATCGACGTCAGGTCTTGTGCAACAAGAGGCTGCTCTTGATGAAAGAGATGCTTGACATGTGGGACACGAGGACGAAGATTTGATTTCTGATCTGTCGAACGGTTTCGACTTAACCGGACCCTTGCCCCGATCTAATGCCTTTAAGAATAAGTACCGCCCGGCGGCCATGGCCGAGGAAACACTTAGGAAAAGTGCGGGTTTAGTTAGGGGTCAGGTTTTGGCTTCGGTTAAAAGTTCTGGAGACGAGATCGTGGACCAAGGCGTGCTAGCAGCCACAGAGAAGGAGTTAGCCAAAGGCTTCGTTGAGGGGCCGGTGAGTGCTAGCGACATCCCTAGTGATGGGACGGTCACACATCGCTTTGGAGTGATTCAAGGGGAGACTTAGGAAGGTCCTAAAGTTAGACCAATCGACAATTACTTGAGTTCGCTTGGCCCTGTTTGGGCAGTGAAACGAACCAAACGAATTGTTCCCTGGAGGCCTGGGGGGGTGGGGGGGATGGCAGGGGCGCGGCGGCTCTTTCAGTTGTACGCCCGGCCACTGCGGCTTCGGACCACAGCCATGTTGTCATGCAGTCTTCAGTTCTGTCAGTTGCACTTATGTTCAGTCATGTCAGACATGTCAGTGCTTGCATGTTTTTCAGTCTCTTTTAGGCATGTCAGTTTTAGTGCATTTTCAGTTGGCCTTTTTCTTTGGCCACGAAACCTTTTCAGTTTTGCCTTTGACTTTTCGAACAATCTCTGGAGAGCTTTTGCGGAATCTGATCTATGCATCCGATACATTGCGGACCAATCGGGAGGGGATCTTAGAAATTTTAGTTACGGGGGGGCGCCTTTCAGGCTTCTTCGCGCAATGGCATTATATGACGGAGGATAGGCTCTGGAATCTTCTTGAAGATACCGGCTGCACTTGCGTGAGGGAGCTGCGTTTGCATTTTGATACTCCTTGGCACCTGGCCTGCTCAGTGGACAGCTTAGAGGATTCAGTGGTCCTGGCCGAGCAGATCCTTCCGTCTGCTGTGTCCTCAGACCATAAGAGAGCTGGCGCGCTTATTTGGGGCTGGCTCCGGGATCAAACTGACTTGTTGAAGCGGGTGCAAGGTAGGCTAAAGACGAAGGCTACGAGGATTGTGGCGCCTCCTTGTGGTGATGTTTCTCCTGGTGAGGTTTATGCACAATTGGTGAGCGGCAGCCTTGAGTTAACGAAGCAGACCAGTAGGGCTCATGCGAGATGGATCTCGAGTGGGGCTGGTACGCCAGCTGATGCTGAGAAGGCTGCTAGAAAGTTCTGGGGTACAGTCTTGGTGCAAATTATGGTGGAGGCTAAGCTTCCCATCGTGGATATTCCGGTTGAAAGTGAGGAGCAAAGGGTTCTGTATGCTTTGAGGGCCTTGGGTACCCGTCGTTCGAAGACTTTGAGGAACCGGGCACGAGCTTGGCGCAAGGCTCGGGACTGGATGCTTTGAAGTCAGTCGCTTTCCCGCGGCGTCCGAGTGACGTTGTGGACTATCTCCTCTTCTTGGAGCAGGAGGTGGGCACCAAGAGCTGTATTTCGGAGTTTATGAGTGCTCTATCTGTTCTGGAGGATGCAGGGCAGGTTCCTTTGGCCAGCCAGTTGTGCAAGGACAGATTGGTGGTTGCTGCCTCGAAGAGCTCAGAGGCAGAAGTTCATGTGGGGGTCACGAGCAAGAAGCAGGCGGCCCCCTTGTCGGTGGCAATGCTGCTTTCTTTGGAGATCTTTGTGGTATCCAGCGGCAATCCATTATATGCTAGATGCCTTATGTGGGCCTGTCTGGTGTGTGTCTGGGCTTGCATGCGTGTGTCCGATCTGCAAGGAATCGACGTTTCTAGACTTAGGCTTTTTCGTGATGGGCTTAAGGGCTTCTTAGTCAAAACCAAGACAACCGGTCCCGACAAGAAGGTGGCTGAGGTTCCCTTCTTTGTGGGTCGGGATGTGGGGTTGTCTGGTCGTGATTGGCTGCTCTCGGGTTTCGACTTGTGGAAGGGCCTTGGGCAGCTGGACAGGACTTTCTTGGTGTTCCAGTCATCCGAAGATTTTGAGGAGCCGATTTTCAAGTTTGCGAAACCGGAGGTCATCAGCAATTACATGCGTTTGATCTGGCGACAGCTGAAAGTTCCTTTTCGCCAGATTGGTGAACACGTGTGGAAATCGAGAGCTGAGAGGGCCCTCCTTGGTGACGAGTGTTATTTGTTCTGGACGGGCCATAGCATGCGTCATGTTCTTCCAACCATTGCTGCTGTTCTGGAGGTTCCGAAGGAGCGGCGCGATTACTTAGGTCGCTGGCACATTGGTCTGCATCAGAGTTCTGATTACATCCATACCTGCCGTCAGATTGTGCATGACATTCAGCGCCGTGTATGCGACAAGTTGTCGGGTGGCAAACCCGGGTACGACGAGGAGGAGCTGTTTGAGGAGCTGCGCGAGTGGCTCCGCGATCGGGGTTCTGATCCTGATCCGTGGTTGAAGCTTCATGCTGTGATGCGCACCGTTTCTGGCTGCAAGGTATTGAATCAGACTTGGCCTTTATTGGCCGATTTCACCGACGGGACGGACAACGCTGCCCCGGCCCCGCCGGTTTCGAACTCATCTCAGACTGATAAGGAATCTCCTTTCTGGGTTAGCATCAGCAGGCATTCTGGTCATCGTCGGCTGCACATTAGGAATGGCTGCTGGGTCACTCCGAGCAGTTGCCACCGCTTCGCCGAGGTTTGGGAAGCCGGACCGAATGTTGCTGATAGCTTCTGTAAGCTCTGTTATAAGGAGAAAGTGGATCCGTCCTCGAGTTCGGGGGAGTCTTCGTCGACCGAGCTCGGGGAGCCGACTGAGGATAGTGGGGCCCCCGATTTGAGTTTTCACACCTGAGATCAGACTGTCAGATTCGCGTGCCAGTGCAAAGGGGTGTCAGTTTGCCTCAGTGCTTTCAGTGCCTTTTTGCCGCGTGCTGTCAGTGCTATCAGTTGCAGTTGCGGGAGCAAATCAGATGCTTGAGATGGGCAGTTTTCTGCTCAGTACTTCACGTTGTGAATCTCAGACGACATTACTATATGAGCCACTCTCAGACTTTCAGTGCTCCTTTGGGGCTGTCAGATTTCATTCTTTCAGTACTGTCAGTCTTTAGCTTCGCTCGCCTCGGAGCGACAATGGCGGCCGATCCTGCGGCACAGCGTCAGTTCTTGAAAGATAACGTCGATGCCGACTTTATCTTCCTTCTGGAAGAGCATGGTGTTGACTTAGCGTTGCAGTACGCCATTGGTCAGCATTACAAGAGTATCAGGACATTTGCTGCATTTGCCGATGATAGGGGGGCGGCTCGGACGGCCATCACCGCGGACTTCGGCGTTCGAGCTGAGAGTGCTGCAGATCGTGCTAGGATGGCGTGTGTCATCACTTCTTGGGAAGCTTCCAAATTGATTCGCGAGGAGGAAGCTAAGCTTCGGGCTGAGGCTAAGGTGTTGGGGGTCCAGAAGCCCCTCGTCTCTTCCGATCGAGCGGCTATGCGAGCTGCTTTGGAGGCGGTAAGGGGCTACTCTGTTCCAGAATCTGAGGAGCCTGCACCTGAGTACCTCGCACACAAGCTTGAGCAGATTGAGAATGGCGAGCCCACCGCTAGTTATCTTGATGAGGTTATTTCACGTAAGGAGTCCAACTCTTTGCAGCTTCAGACTTCACTGGACAATCAGGGCCGCCTTCGTGTTATGCGCCAGAAGCCCACGGGGAAGCTCCCACAGAACACTGAGGAACTCCGAGCGAAGATTCGGCTCGAGGCATCAACATGGGTGATGTTGGCCGCGAAGTGTCGCGGTCGTGCCTATTTGCAGGGATTGCAGTTGTCACATTTTGATCGTTTCTTGGAATATCTTCTGGGAGACAAGTGCTACAGCATGCAAGTCGCATCGGCGGCTCCCATGAGTTCTTCTGCACATGCTGATCGTCACACTTTGTCTGTGCCCTGGAATATCTTGCTTCAGTATGAATTCGAGCTTCGTAAATGGGCCATCAAGGAGGCACATCGTTTGAGTGCCCCGCTGGGTGACAAGCTGCATGAGGCTACCACCAACACCGAGCTCAAGGAGCTGCATTTTACGTCTCAGGTGGCATTGTCTCGACGCTCGACCGGCGCCGACCCTCCGCCACCAAAGTGGCCCCGCAAGGGTGACGGCAAGAAGGGAGAAAAGGGCGGTAAAGACAAAGGTGGCAAGGACGGAAAGGGCAAGGCCGATGGCAAGATCAAAATCGGCGAGTCATGGTTCGATCTGGTCTCGAAAACACCGGACGGACGTGAGTTGTGTTACGCTTACAACATCAAGCGTGGGTGTCAGGTCAAGGGATGTCAGCGAGTTCACGCGTGCAGAGTCAAGGGTTGCCAGGCGAACCACCCGGCATACCAGCATGGCGCGCAGGGCGGCTCCTGACTTCGTCGTGATGAGTTTAATTCAGTTTCGGATTCCACTTCGGGTGTGCGCCCTTCGCTGCGGGTCCTCTACTTGTTTTCTGGTCCTACTCGAAAGGCGGATGTTCGCGCCTGGCTGGAGGTCCTATGCACGTCACAGAACATCATTTTGGAGATGTCCGAAGTCGACATCTGCCGTGACCCAAGTATGGATTTGCTGGACTCTGCAGTGGTTGATCGGTGCTTGCTTCAAGTCCAAAATTCGGAGTGGGACGTGGTCTTGGTGACTCCGCCCTGCAATACCTTCTCTCGGGCACGATGCGTACAGCCGGGTCCTCGGCCACTGAGATCACGTATTTACCCTGCGGGTTTTCCTTGGCTTTCAGACTCACATCGTGCTGCAGCGGATAATGGCAATCAGTTCGTTTCCTTTTCTTTTCAGATCTGCACGGCTGCCCTTTCGAATTCTATTCCTTTTCTGTTGGAGCACCCTGAAGACCTGGGTATGACAACCACCGGTCACACACCGGCATCTATTTGGCAACTTCCAGAAGCTGCTGCACTTTTTACGCACGAGCAGGTCGTGACTTTTGCGATCTATCAGTGTCACTACGGAGCCCACACGCCGAAACCCACCAGGTTTCTTTCTTCTATCGCAGCCACCTTTGGCATGCGATTCATGGGGCCTCCTCGTTTTGATTCTGCGGACAAGTATCTGGGGCCTCTGCCCAAGTACTGTGGCCACCGGCATTCCAATCGTCTTTTGGGTGCCGCCAACACTGCTGCTGCTGCCGCCTATCCGCCTGATTTATGCAAGGCTATCGCTTCCTGGACCTTCTCCGTCTTCGATGGGGGAGGAGGTGCACCCTCGGTGGCTACGGTTCCCGAATCTGCTCACTGTTTTCAGTTCCCGGCTAGGGAGGTTGAGGTTAAAGTGAGTTCTTCACAAGCGGAACAAATGGCTGCGGTCTGCTTGGGAAAGGGTAGGATCGCTCGGGATCAACTTCTCCGCCTCTCAGAGCTCCTGCCGGATGAGGATAGAGTCAGGCAGTCCAGCAGAGAAGTCAGTGGCCAGCGATCTTTCACGACGGGCGCTTACACCCACCAGGACAAGGTGGGGCTCAGGCGCAACATTGATGTTTTCCCTCTGGCATCGGAGCTGCTGGCACGCCTCGTGTCTTGCGGCTTCCCTGATTGCGTCTTCACTTCATTAGCATTCTTTCGTGACCTTAAGCAGCCCCCCCATAAGGACACCACGAATGGTCCATTCAACAATTTGTTGCTGGCCTGTTCGGAGTTTTCGGGAGGGGGCCTCTGGGTTCAGTCTGAGGGAGGCCCGGTTTCTCGTTTTATTAACGGCTCCTGGACCCCTGGACGCATACTGGAATGGGACGGGGGCAAGATTGCCTTCGATCCCCGGCTACGGTTCCCGAATCTGCTCACTGTTTTCAGTTCCCGGCTAGGGAGGTTGAGGTTAAAGTGAGTTCTTCACAAGCGGAACAAATGGCTGCGGTCTGCTTGGGAAAGGGTAGGATCGCTCAGGATCAACTTCTCCGCCTCTCAGAGCTCCTGCCGGATGAGGATAGAGTCAGGCAGTCCAGCAGAGAAGTCAGTGGCCAGCGATCTTTCACGACGGGCGCTTACACCCACCAGGACAAGGTGGGGCTCAGGCGCAACATTGATGTTTTCCCTCTGGCATCGGAGCTGCTGGCACGCCTCGTGTCTTGCGGCTTCCCTGATTGCGTCTTCACTTCATTAGCATTCTTTCGTGACCTTATAAGCAGCCCCCCCATAAGGACACCACGAATGGTCCATTCAACAATTTGTTGCTGGCCTGTTCGGAGTTTTCGGGAGGGGGCCTCTGGGTTCAGTCTGAGGGAGGCCCGGTTTCTCGTTTTATTAACGGCTCCTGGACCCCTGGACGCATACTGGAATGGGGCGGGGGCAAGATTGCCTTCGATCCCCATGTCTGGCATTGCACTGAAGATTGGAGGGGCTGCAGGCTGGTCTTGGCTGGCTATACCATTGCGAATGACGACCGACTTTCTCCTGCCGACAGGGATAAACTTGGATCTATGCACTTCGAGCTTCCGGGCAAACGTAAGAGGGGATCGGCTGATTTCTTGATCGACACGGAGGAGGTTGCGACGTTACCTGAACAGGACGACATTCCATTCAGTGAACTGAAGTCTGGTTGCGAAGGGCCACCGATGGTGGGGGATTTCGCTGGGTCCTCGGATGAGTTCGTCGATGGGTTTGGTCGCTGCTCTCCTGGTCGGTGGAAGCCATGCAACCGGGGCACGGCGATGTCCGCTGAATCCTTAGACTTTGCGCAGCGCTTGAAAGAGAGGGTCAGGATGTTCGTCGTGGAGTGTGTTCCGGACTTGGCGAAGTCGACTTTTCGTCTGGCGACGGGACACTGGAACGGGCCGCTCTTTGACCAGGGTCGCTTGGAAGAACTGAGGGAGGACTGGTTCAACATGCTGCCTGATCCCATCCGGGCTCGGGAGATGATTCCTCATCAACCCTTCTACTTGAGGGCGATTTCCTCAGACGCTTCGGATTCTTGGAGACCCAGACTATCGCATCATCGAGGAGGGGAAGTTCTGCTTCGTGAACGGTGTCGAGGTGGGGCACACGGCGCCATTGGGGCCAGTGCCTCAAGTGTTCCGGATCCGCAGAAAAGATCAGAAGTACGATGAGTCAACTTGGCAGCCGTTGATGCAGAACTATCGTGATGGGGCTGAAGTCGAGAAGGCCTTGGAGGAGGCTTTCACCAAAGAGGAGGCAGAAGGACGCATGTTCCCGCTTTCTTTGGCGGAGGCGAAAACACGCTTCCCTGGTCCTGCGCTTCGCATTGCCGCTCAAGCAGTGATTCCGAAACCTGACCATGAATTCCGTGTGGTCCATGATGGGACCCACGGGGTTCACGTCAACAATGAGATTGTTATGCTTGACCGTCTTGAATCGCCTGGACCAAGGGAGATTTCTTCGATTCAGAAGCTGGGCATGGTGGCAGAAGAGAAAGTCCTGTTCGGGCTTGTGGGAGACGTGAAGAAGGCGCACAGGCGATATTTGCACCACCCAGAGCATTGGGGGGTGCTCGCTTGTAGAACGCGGAGCGATTCATCAGTCGTATGGCTTAACCGCACAGGAACTTTCGGAATTGCTTCGGCGGCCTATTGGTTCGCCCGCTTGATTGGTTTGGTGGGCCGCTTGTCTCTCAGAGTTATGCTTCAGGCTTTTGTTTTCATGCTTATTTATGCAGACGACCTACACCTGCTCAGCGGCGGTTCAGATCGATGGCTCAACCTCTGGATGTCCCTTGCCCTTTTGTGCATGCAGGGCACACCCTTCTCGGAGAAGAAGTGGCGCGGGGGACTGCAACTTGATTGGGTCGGTTACTGGATTGATTATGGCCGCTTTAAGCTTGGGATTTCGGAAAAGAGATGCCAGTGGATCATCCGATCGATTGAGGGCATGGAGGGAGACGGCTGGCTTGTGGACGTTCGCCGTTTTCACGAACTCCATGGCCGGCTAGGCTTTATGTCGCAAATCTTGATATGGATCAGACCCTTCCTCGCGCCGGGCTACGCATGGCTAGCGGTAGTCAGCAAAGGTGCTGTATTGGCACTGCCCAACTTGATCCGCTGCACCCTGCGATTCATTCTTGATCGGCTCCGCGCAGGTTCACGAACGTATCCTGCGGGGCTGGCGGATAAGGATTATGGGGAACTCTTCAGAACCGACGCCGCTTGCAACTCTGACTCTGTGGTTCTAGGCGGTTGGTTCCTTGTCAGGGGTGTTGTCTGTAAATCCGCTCCTTGGTTTCAGATTACGCTTCGTTGCGAGGAAGCCCCTTGGCTCTTCAAGGAAGGTCTTGGGAGCTCCTGGGCCAGTACCTCTGCTGAACTGCTATCCTCGCTGGTAGCGCTTCATCTGCTGGAGAGGGATTTTCCCGAGGTGTTTTCATGTCCTGGCTCTTTCAGGGCCTGCTTCGCTGGTGGAGCAGACAACAAGTCGGCGGATGCCATTTCTGCCAGACTTCTCACGACAAAGGTCCCTGTGATGTTTGTGCTGATGGAATACGCTCACCGCTGCGACTTGGCCGGGGTCAGATGTCTCTTGAACTGGAGGCCGCGTGATGCGAATCAGGAGGCAGATAGGATCACGAAGAATGATTTCTCAGATTTCTGTCCGGACCTTCGGGTCACTGTCAGCTGGAGTGAGTTGAACTTCTCAGTGCTTCCGTCTTTACTTCGATTCGCGAACTTTCAGAGCACTCTGGAGGATGCGCGTGCCTCTGCTTCTGGCGAAGGACAATCTCCTTCTCGCATTCGTTTCGAGAAGAGTCAGTGGGGCTGAGGCACATGACGATGCCTCTTCATTGAGTGGGGATTGATGCTTTCGGCATCGTCTCCCAAAAGTTTCATATGCATGACTGGTATGGGCTGTGCGATCCAAAACATGTCGTTGCGCGTTCTTGCTTTCCATCCCCAACATCCTGAACCCCAAACTCTTGAACCTCTGAACTTTTAGCCCTTCGGGCTTTTGGAATGTTTAACTACGCCTCCAGGGTACAAGCCCTGTTTGGGCAGTGAAACGAACCAAACGAATTGTTCCCTGGAGGCCTGGGGGGGTGGGGGGGATGGCAGGGGCGCGGCGGCTCTTTCAGTTGTACGCCCGGCCACTGCGGCTTCGGACCACAGCCATGTTGTCATGCAGTCTTCAGTTCTGTCAGTTGCACTTATGTTCAGTCATGTCAGACATGTCAGTGCTTGCATGTTTTTCAGTCTCTTTTAGGCATGTCAGTTTGAGTGCATTTTCAGTTGGCCTTTTTCTTTGGCCACGAAACCTTTTCAGTTTTGCCTTTGACTTTTCGAACAATCTCTGGAGAGCTTTTGCGGAATCTGATCTATGCATCCGATACATTGCGGACCAATCGGGAGGGGATCTTAGAAATTTTAGTTACCCACCCTACCCGCCCTTTTAGTTCTCGTTTTCAGGACTGTTCAAAACAGCCCATACATACATGGGGATTGATGCTTTCGGCATCGTCTCCCAAAAGTTTCATATGCATGACTGGTATGGGCTGTGCGATCCAAAACATGTCGTTGCGCGTTCTTGCTTTCCATCCCCAACATCCTGAACCCCAAACTCTTGAACCTCTGAACTTTTAGCCCTTCGGGCTTTTGGAATGTTTAACTACGCCTCCAGGGTACAATAAATTCGGTTGTATCCCAAAGTGAACAAGTGCCCGTTCACACCTGGCATGTTGGCGATGTGGTTGCACTTGTCTCCTTTGAAGTCTTTGCGCGCGGGACTTGTGTGCAAATGCTGGGACCTCAGTGCCGCGTACAAGCAACTACCGCTCAGTGACAAAAGTTTCGAAAAGGATAGCTTTTTTGTAATCTTCTGCCCCCGCACTCGCAAGCACGTTATCTACAAGCAGCGGGTCATGCCCTTCGGGGCAAAGGCGTCAGCAACCGCTTTTATCCGTTGTGCATTCGGAATTTGGCGGTTGGGGGTAAAGACAATCTCACGTTCGTGATATCCTCTTATCCTTTTGCCAACAGGTGATATGTTCACCGTCCTTTCTTTGTAATCGTGTTCCCACACTTTTGAGAAAGTGGTCATGTTGTTGCCGTTGCACAAATGTGTTTTGGGCATGCCTCATGATGTCACCTCTTTGTTTTGAAAAGTAGTCGGACACGCTTTTATGTTCATGGACTACTTTTCAAATTTGTGACCTTTGCTGTGTGATGGAACAATGCTCCGCTGAAGGTCTTGGCTCTGTATGCGGAGCTCACATGTGAAAATTTTGAGGCCTCCATGTCCCCTTGACTGTCTAACAGGTCTCAGGTGCTAATCTCGGTGTTGGGGCTAGCCCACACGTGCGTGCATGGGCAGCGAGGCCTCATTGGAGCCTGAGCGTGACGGCGTGTCAAGCGCAGAGTTGTACCAGCTGATTCGTGGGTTGCATCAGAGGGTCCTTCGTCTTGAGAATCAAGTTGCGGGATTGCTTGCGAACCACGGTGCCGACGTGAGTGACTCTGACAGTCAGCTTTCCGTCCTTGACATTACTTGCATTTGGGGCTCCCCGAATACTCTGGCTACCCTCTGGGGCTTCTGTGACGCTCCATCCAGGGCACGCCTGCTCCAGCTGTCAGGTGACATATCCTTCGATCAGGTCCGTCCACAGTTGCATGCATTGCTGCTTGCTCAGGGTTTCCCTGCACCCTGAGCCATGGACCCTGCACAGGGTCATGCGGCCATGGATCGCGCACTGGACGCGGATACTCCACCGCCCGTAGGGTTTCGGATGGGGGACTGGTTTCGGGCTAGGATTAGGTCTGCTAGGGCACCATATCAGCCTTCAGTGCACCATGCAATGTCTGTCTTGAGCGCTGCTGCAATTGATATGCCGCTTCCTTGGGAATCAGGTTCGTTATCGGCTGTGCTTGGTGCAAGAGGGTTCCTTCCTTCGCCAATTGTACCATTGGTGGCGGAACAGGTTGGCGACCAGCCACAGGTGCGGGAAACGGCTCAACGAGTTAGAGCGTCCAAGGAGCCGTGGAAGGCTTCGGTGGTCCACTCTCGTGCCTGGGCGGATGTGGAGGATTTGTGGAAGCTCATTGTACTGACTTCAGGTCGAGGGACCAAGGTTGGCCGGGATCTTGTAAGGATGCAGAGCGAAGGCTCTCCGGCAGCCGTGGTCGAGCAGTGCCTCCGTGATGTGTTTTCGGCGAAGTCAACTTCCACCCTCCGGTCAAGGGCCTCCAGCTTGGCTCAGTTCTCCAGGTGGCGAGCATCGGTAGGGCTCGACCCCGCTGTGTTCCCTCTGGAGGAGTCCGATGCCTACCTTTATCTCTGTTTCCTTAGGACTGAGGGGGCACCCCGTTCAAGGGCGTCCCGGTTCCGCGAAGCTGTCAACTTCTCTGGGGCATTGCTCGGTGCAGATGTCAGTGAGACTGCAACCTCGGCTAGGGTCCAAGGGGCTGCAAACCCGCAAACCCAGACGGTTGTAGTGCGCAAGAAGCGGCCACTGACAGTGGCCCAGGTCCGGGGCTTGGAGGAGTGCGTCCTCAGTTCTCCTAATGATTTGGCTGCAGTGCTTGCGGGATTCGCTTTATATTGCCTTCATGGCCGGTTGCGTTGGAGCGATGCTCAACATACTGAAGCCGAGCCTGTTCTGGACTTGCATGAGGGAAAGGGCTTCTTGAATGCACAGTTATACCATCATAAGACTGCCAACCGTGGGTCGCTTGCTCGGCATAGGCTGCTGCCAGTTGCATGTGTCACTCCAGGCTTGGCCGAGGGAAATTGGGCTGAGGCTTGGTTAGCTCGCAGGCGAAGGCTCAACCTTGTTGCATCCCGCGGCACTCCCATGATGCCGAGACCGTTGTGCCAAGGAGGGTTCGATGTTCTGCCTCTCGACCCTTCGCTGGGGGCACTGTGGCTTAGGGAAATCCTAAAGGAGTGTGCGCCTTGTGGGGATTCTTTTCCTTGGGGAGAGGTTGCCACGCACAGCTTAAAAGCTACCCTTTTGAGTTTTATGGCAAAGGCAGCCGCGGCCGAGAACCTCAGGTCCATTGCAGGGTACCATATGCGGGCAGCAAACTCTTCCACTCTTGAGTACTCCCGGGATTCGATGGCACCATCTTTGCATTTTCTTGAAGGCATGTTCATTGCTACCAAGGGTGGCATTTTCTCTCCAGATTCGACCAGGGCCGGACGGTGGACAGGGGCCATCCGCTCCATTGAGGAGGCCCTTCGTTTCTTGTCTGGGGTTCAGCCGAACCCCTCAGATGATCGCCCGCCGCCGGTGGATGTGCCGGACAATGTCACTGGGGAACAGTCGGACCCTGAGTCTGCGGCTGAGAGTATCGGGACGGAGGGCGAGGCTGATGAGGCCGTTGTTTCCGCTTACTTTCTGGGGGAGGAGTTGAGCGTCTCTGCGGAGGCCCGAGGTTTTGTAAAGTGCTTTAGGCATCGTATGAGTGGCGTTGTCCACGCGGCTCGGGATGGCCAGCCTGCTGATGAGGGCGAGATGACGGTCTTCAGATGCGGACGTTTTGCAAACCGTAATTACGAAGAGCTGGATGAAACTCCGGCGATAATTTTGCAGAAGTGCTCTTCTTGCTGGGGGGCAGGCGACTCGGGCCGGTGAGGCGAAAACAAATCGAGGCACGCTCTGGTGTTTGTAGCATGCCGTCACGGAGGGAGCGCCTGCATGGGTCAAGGTTTTCTCTCTCTTCTTTGTCCATGTCGTCGTGCTGCATGTCGGGTGAGTGTACTGACAGCGTCAGCCCATGTGACATGGTTTCATGTGATGCAGTTTTCCGCTCATGGGCGCTTCATGTTTTATGCATGGTGAACATGTCACTGGGTAGGAGATTTTCCTGTCATGTCTGCTTAGCCTTGCATTCTCAGTCGACACACACAGGTGACAGTTACCATTAGTTGCGTCTCAAGCGGGTAACCATGTCCGCCATCGATAGCGAGGCTGTGTTCTTGTCGAAGTGCACCCAGCTGGGACTGCCCGAGGATGCTCGTGGCAAGCTCAAACGAAAAGGCTGGGCCACTTTCGGCACTTTTGCATTCTGTGTGCCGGGAGAGCCGGGAAGGATTCCCGATGACGTCTTCAAAACCTCCGTTGTGCAACCCATCCTCGGTGATGGGGGTGAGGAGCATCAGGCGAAACTTAGGCGGCTCCACTTTGAGGCATATGCTTTGACAGCTGCTGAGCTGAAGCGGACGGCCGAGTCCACGGAGTCGGACCAACCACGTAAGGTCCCGACGGCGGAGCTCGCTGCTCGCTATGATGTGTTGCAAAAGCGCGTAAAGCCTCTTCGTCTTGTTGACCGCTTGGAGCCTTCGCATTCACTCGTGAACCTGTCTGCCCAAATGCTTGAGGATCAGAGGGTGCGCTACATCGAGTGGTCGAAGTGTACTAGCCGTGCCCAGGAGATAAATCTTGTGAAGGAGGACGCCAGCTTGAAGCTGCTTCAGGGTGGCCGCTCAGGATCCGTCAAGCTTGTTGACCCCGGGTCCAAAATCACGGCTGACACTAAGTCTGACCTTGAGGTGATGCAGGCCTTGCGTCGCAGGGGTGTTGCATACGAACTTGCAGCCATCATGTCGTTTGAGAAACACGAGGAATTGATTGACCGACTTCTTATGGAATATCAACGGGAGCCCATGCCGGGGTTCCATCCGATCTCCTTCGCTCAGCTCCAGGCCGCGGACAGGGAGGTGCATGTTCGCATGGGCGAGCTCACGCGAGCCGGGCTTGTGTCGGGGGCGGATGGCTCCTTGCCGCTTGATGGCCCGGTGTCTCAGGTGTTGGCTGGCTCCCACATTCAGTGGATGCTGATGCCTCGTCAGAAGGGGTCTGGTCCCTTGGGCAGCTCCGGCGCTGGTGAGGCTAATGAGAAGCCCGACAAGCCACCGCGCAAGCCGCCTAAAAAGACGGATCCGTCGAAGGCGACGGATAAGGATCAGGGCACCGATAAGAATCAGAAGGCTGATTCTGGTGCATCGCCGAATGCGGCTGAACGACATGGCAAGCAACGGAAAACTCGCTTCGTCATGCCCAAGGCGCTCATCGGTGGAGTCCCTAAGGATGGGGCCGGACGTAACATCTGCTTCGATCATAACCTTGGGAAATGTCCCAATGCTGCCGGGTCCTGCCCAAAGGGGGCGCATGTGTGCTGTTTCCCGGCATGCTTTGATGCCTCTCATGTTTTCTCCTACCACAAGTCATCGTGACTAGGGCCCGCTCGCTCTAGTGCAAGTCAGGTGCAGGGTGCAACCAATGTGCATGACACGGCCAACAGCCATTTGGGCAATGATCGTGATACGAATGCGGAACTTTTTGCTGCCACCTTGATCGGCAAAGTCGATGCAGGCGGCATTCGTCGTCTTTTGGAACTGCTTCCCTCGGAGGCGCCATCGCGCGGTTCGCGTGAGGTGGGCCGTGGGTCCGAATTTTCTTTCACCACAGGTGCTTACACTTATGATCATGGCAAGCGGCATGGTCTTCGCCAACATTGCCGCGACTTTCCGATGTCCACTAAGGTTCTGAATGAGTTTATGAGCTCCCAGGCGCCAGGCGCCAGATACACAACACTGGCCTTGTTTCGCGATCTTGATACCAGGGTCCACTCAGATCGCGGGAATGATCCTGGCCTGATGAACACCATCCTGAAGGTTTCTGATTTTACCAGCGGCCCCCTCGCTCTAAAAAAGAAGTCCGAGTGCGATTGCTTCAGTCTGTGAGTGCAGTTCGTGTACATGTACTTCTGCTTTGTTGGTGCGCTTGGAATGAAAACATAACCAAATAAAGGGAAAATAAGACGCAACTCCGCGAATAGCGGATGAAGCTTTATTTTCCCATGTGTCAAAAATTTTGGTTTGTCAAACAAACTCAAAATTTAGGGCGTGAGTTTTTATCAAAGTTTTCTTAACATGAGATGTGACAGTTCATGTTGAGCGGATTCCAATGAAGTCTTTGTTATGCCGTCAGTTGGCTCCACAGGGTGGTGGGAGGGTAAGAAAAAATTTCCGGCATAAGTCCGGAAAAAGTTTTGTCCCACCCAGCCCGCCCTGGTTGTTATATGCACAAGTTTTGCTGCGAAGTTTCGCAATGATGCAAGTGGCATCTTTTTCCCAGTAATATTTTCTGTACAAATCTGTTTCTGCCATGATGTTGAGACTGAAAGAAGCAAACGCCCTGGGCCCGAGCCCAGGGCAAGGCACTGCGATGCCCCATTCACGAGTGAAAAGAGAGCCGTTAGTGTGAGCTGAATTTTTATTTGATACGAAGTATACATTTGGATGAAGAGTGATACATCCTGAATTTATATATGTGTACTATTGAACGCCCGGTTGACACATAAAGGGAAAATAACAAATATGTGTTCATCTAATGATCATGTGCATAAATGCTTGTGTCGTCCAGTGGATCATATTGCATGTGGTATTGAAACGAACATGACAATCAACATCTAGTACCTGTTCGTACTATCCAACACACATAGTTGCTTGCAGCTTGTTGGATCAAAGATATTTAAAGTTAAGCACCATGGCACCGAAGCCGAAGGCCAAGCCGGCAGCAGGGGGGAGGATGGGCCGGGTGAGGACTCGGAAGCGCTGCCGCCAACCGTTGTGAATGGCATTGGTGAAGAAGGCGGTGGGGCGGAAGGCAGAGTGCCAGGGCCACCCATGGGTCCGCCGCCGCCAAGGCCTGTGAATCGGCCACCTTTCCCGAGACCTCCCGCCCCTGCGCGACATGAGTTTGAGATTGCCCAAGCTGTGGCAGAAGCGTTGGACATTCTTGAGACCCCGATCATGATCAACTTCGAGCCGGATGTGGTTACTGTTAGGGAGGGCCGCATTGTTCTGGTCACCCTTCAGAACTTGACACCTGAAGAGATGCAACGTCGGCAGTTGGAACGGCGAATTTGTGCCATGTGTTTCAATGCTCCAGACAACCCGCCGCCACCAATAGTGCCGCCAAGGCCGCAACTTGAAAATGGCTATCCTCGCCCTAACAATAACGCCAACAGTGGAGCTGCTGAAGGCAGAGTGCCAGATGAGTTCGAAGGTGGAGGAGTTCGTGATCGAATCCTTTATCGTTTGGAGTCTCCCACGGGGGCCTGGTTGCATGAGCCAGCTCGTGCAGAAGGTGAGATTCACGCCTCAGATTCAGATGTGATTGAGGAAGGTGTTCGAGATGTTCGTCTTGGTGAGCTTGGAGGGTGGGGTGCTTTGGGGATTGATTGTGGGCACATCTCAGAAGAAGACCCGGACTGGAGTCAGCGCCACTCAGCGGATGGAGCCCCCTCAGATGTGATGGAGGAAGGTGAGGAGTCAGACTCTGAGGCTTCTTCCATTGATGCTGTTTGTCAGATGGCAGTCTGATTATTTTAACTCACCAGCAAAGACTGCATAGAAGGCAGAGTGCCAATGCAGAATCTGGCTGACAAGTGGCTGCCACCTCGTTTGTTTCGCAATCGTCGAGTGATATGGATGGACTGCTGTGTGCGGTACCAGAAAAACGAGAGTCGAGTGAGGGTCTGCCAGTGCTGTATTTGATTGCTTGAGCATGAAGTCACGGTCTGCAACAACTATGCCATGTGTGAATTTCAACAAGTGATGTCATCATGTCTGTCTCATCCTTGTATTGTGATGGATCAATCGACTCACAAGCGTGTCAACTGCTGCATGTGCTGGTTCACAATTACGTTGTTAATTCGAACACCCTTGAGGTTAAGGTGTTACACTTTCTTGGGGTTAAGACAGAGTGCCATGCCCAGTGCAATTTCGAGTGCCATGTCTGCAGCAGCAGCGGAACCGACTGAAACAAGAAGAAGACTGTTAGCAGACATTCAGCGGCAGTTTGAGGCAAACATCGCACTGGGGAAGACATTCTTGGCCATTTCGAGAGGACAGGATGATCTGCGCCTTTGTGAAGTTGACCCCTCGCTTCTGGAGTTCCATAATGAAGGTCCTTATGAAATTCTGCCTGAGTGCAACTATGATGTGATTCTTGAAACCAGTGGGTTTTCCTGGATGATATCAATCTGGCAACAGATGTTGTCATAAATTTTTCCCATCATGACTTCGTGGCCATGGAAGAAACAGATGAGATTCCTCATCAACTTTTGTCATTGGAAGCGGAACATAAGGCAGAGTGCCAGGTTCCACTTCCTGGAGATCTTTGCAGGGCAGGGCAACCTCAGTCGGGAGATGCTCCGTGCTGGCTGGCAGGGACTAGCCCTGGACATCAGGTACGGCCCAGATCATGATATTCTTTCTGTGAGAGGACTTCGCCTGGCTGTCAATGCTGTGTGTCAAACACACAAACACGGCCTGGTGCGGTTTGGAATTCCATGCTCTTCCTTCGTCCAACTCTGTAAATACAGTACTGGAAGGGCCATTGCCAATGACTGGATGGGAGAACCTGAGCGATCGCTGTCATGCCAAGAAGGCAATCGTTTCATGTATGTGACGCTGCTGTTGACTTTGCTCGCGGCTTTGAATGACAACCGGTTTTTGATCGAGCAGCCTTGCTCCAGCATGCCGTTCGACATTCCAATCGTCGATCGTGTCATGGGAATGATCCAGGCTATGAAAATCAAAGCCTATGGCGGTGCCTTCGGCCAG